TTAGAAGAATTTCTGGATACCTTGCCAGCAAATTACAGTATGTAAACTTTGTAGTGTGATTTAATGTATTTGCAGTTTTTATTTGAAATATGAACATGCATTTGACTGTTAAAATGTGATAAATCATCATTCTAAATAGTATGTTTACCTAGTGATTTGGATTTCATGAAATACAGGTAGTATCTTTATCTTACGTTTTCAGTGTATTACCACAAATGTGACACCTGTTTGAGATTGGTATTGCATTTCCCAAGTTAACTAAAAACAGATCCTCAAAAACTGGTAACCAAAACTATTTTTATTCCCTTATTTTTTAAGTTTAATACACCATACTAGTCTTACAATATACAAATGAAATAATGGATTGTAGCGTAATGAAATAAAAAATGTAATATTATAATGTTTATTTGCCCTAATGGTTTTCTTATAAGAGTTCCCCCCAATCCCTTGCCCGTTGCTGTTGTGTGTGAGGGTGGGGTGGGGGGGGTGGGGGGCTTAGGGGACAGAGACCGAAACCCAATGCAGGGCTCTTTCATTGGACCTCAGCCCTTGCCTCAACTAATTTTGCATAGTCTTTTCTCCTCTCTTTCTTTCTCTTATCTTCCCTAACCCTTCTATCCAATTCTTAAGATGTAAGTACCTTGTTGAAAGGATGGAAGGCTGACCTTGTACCAGTCATGAACGGCACAGGGAGCCAAGGGCATGGTATTCCTTGGGAAATCATTTAACCCTTACCCGTTATGAGGACCCTGATGGGTGGACCTTTTTACTTTCCCCACATATGTCAGGCTTACCATAGCCAGTAATGAAGATTTTAACCCTTTGAACACGGCTCAGAATACTGCTAATACACCTACCTCCTCTATACATGCTGTCAACTTAACCCATTCCGAATCATCTACCCAGGTACCAACTCCACCCTTAACAGACATCCCATCTTCCCATCCCAACATCTTTCAGCCCACTTCCTGAACAATCATCTTCACATCCTACCCCTTCCTCCCTTATTACAACTCTTCAACCTTATAGTCCACACCATAATACAACCTCACTTCACACCACTCCCTTCTCCTCCCGTCCTCGTCCCTCTACAATTCCCACTTCCTCAAACCTCTGAGTAATCTGTTTAGACCAACAAAATGGGACCGATTCTTTATAGTTCCCCCAACAGCCTCTCACACAGATAATACCCTACTCTTTCAAGAAAAAAGTTGGTTTTCTTTTCTACCCTGGTTTACCTCACTGGCAAACCTATACCTGTTCTACCTCACCTCTCCCTTAATACATGTACTAGAACTGGTTCCCTCTCCCAAATTGATTGCCTTGTATATGGGAAAAAAACTTAGACTGAAAACGACCTGCTTGGTTGCCTTGCTGAATACGATGGTGTATCAGTAGAATGCTACTCTATTCCCCCAAATGCAATCGCAAGTCCAGCACCAATATTGCCAAGATCACCTTCCTTAGATATGAAAGATCCTTCTTTTCCCAATCCTCCCAACCCAGATCCCCCCAGAAACCCTTAAGGGACATTAAAAAGTTTCTATGTATGATAAGAGAAAGTTCCTCCCTCTCAGCCATCCATTAATTTCTCTACCCAGATTCCGACTGCATTCAAAGTGACTACTGAAATCCATCCTCCCCCTCCTGACATCCACCCCCCCCCTAACCCTCTTCGTCTCGCACCTTCCCAACACACCCTATTTACTTCCTCACCCGTACCCAAACCAAAAACCCTTCCTTTCCTACTAGCCCTACCACTCCCTTGTGGATACGCACGTGAATCCCATCTATCACTTTGTCCTTCCATAGATCCCACCTTTCTTGATGAACCTCCAGATGCTATACCTTCTCCCCCAGATCCCCCCAATCCCTTGCCCGTTGTTGTCGTGGGGAGGGGGGCTTAGGAGACGGAGACTGAGACCCAATGCAGGGATCTCACCTGTCTAGGGCCTCAGCTTTCGACTCAACTAATTTTGCATGGTCTTTTCCCCCTCCGGCTTTTTGTTTTCGTCCCTTCTACTATCTACTTCCTAAGGTGTAAGAGCCCTGCTGAAAGGATGAAAGGCTGACCTTATGCCAGTCCTGAACGGCCTGCGGGAACCATGGGCACGGTACTCCCGATTTAGATGTCTAGCCCTTACCCCCGTACAGGGCACTGGGGGGTGGACTGTTTATTTCCCTTTACATAATCAAGGCTTCCCATGGCCAATAATGAAGATGTAATACGCCTATTAGGGGCAATGAGGCTTGTCCCTTCATCAAATAGCCCCACCGGCTCCCCAACCCCAGGCTCTCCTTTGACCACGACTCCGAACAGTGAATGCCTACTAGTGCATTACCCACCCAAGCTGAGACATTCCTACCCTCCCAACTTCCTCAAATTCATCAACTCTACCCCTACAATCTTCATCAAACACCACAACCTCCCTTATTACTACCTTACAGCCTTATCCTCCATTTCTCCGTAATATTGCCACCCTCAACAACACTCCCACTCCCCGTTCTTCTACCACCACCAACCCTACAAATATCTTAGCTACTCTACTTAGCCCAGCTAAATGGGACCGATTTTTCGTGATCCCCCCTCCAGCTCCTTACTCAGGCAACACCCTTCTCTTTCAACAATGTCTCCAAAAACTTGTAGGCAGAGTCCCTCCTCGTACCCGATGCGAGCGCTCGCGTCTCGTAACAGTCAAATCTGGAGCTGAAGCTGTAGCATTATCAAACTAACTAATCTCTCTGGCAACCCCATCCCCACAGAACCTCATTCAACTCAATACTGCCCAGTCGATACCAAAAATTGGTCAGAATGTGAAGACTTGCTCGGCTGTCTCAAAGACCAGGACGTGATATCAGTACACTCAACAACAAAACCAGTGACGCCTCGCTCGACCTGGCTCAGAGAGATCATGCCTTTCTTACCCTGAACGGAGGCCCGCAGTGCAATCATGACTGACATATATAAGGAGAGAGTGAGGGATCGCTTTTGTTCCTGTTGTTTTGATGAACATTTTGGACCTGCCAGAGTAAATAAGTTATCGTATATCATTTCGAAAATATTTATCATGAAATCGTATCACATAGTTTTATTTTACTTCCTTATCATATTTCCTATATAAAAATAATTAAACATTGTTGGAACCGACTATTTCGACAGACGGAAATATCCTTCATTTGTATTATCCCAGAACCATATATTAATATATGGCTAAGTCCCCGACTCCCGCCATTAATACCATGCATTTTAAAAAGCAAATGAATGTGGGAAATTAAAAATCCGAGCCAAGGATAGCATTTCAGATGATAGAGAAAGTGAAAAATGTAGGAACCCGAGAGAAGATTCGGCCACGGATGATTCGACACGGTGTTGCGCGAACGAACGAGCGAGTGAACCACCATCTTAAACGCACGAACTACCAGTAAGATCGCCGTATGAACCAAAAATCCCTCCTAACCCGGGGGCGAACCCCCTCACGTTTGCCGTATTTCCCTACCGGGGGATTCGCCCCCGAACTCCCTCCCAATTGCCGTATTTCCTGATGCAGGCAAATATTAAGTAGTACTTCAACTCTGGCTTTACTTTCTTATCCGGTGTACGCTTCAAAGCTGCAGCAAGTCCTTGAATCTTTGACATAAAACTGTGCGAAAATGCTCTCTTGAAATTTAGTCAAGCTGTCTTTCACATCAGCAAAACTGTCAAATTCAGTTCCAACTTTGAAGGAAACCACAATCGATGATCGACCCTTAATCATGAACAATGAATAGCACAAAATAGCGCCAAAGTTTGTATGCAAGGCTAATGCGCGAGTGTGTGTTTGCGCGCAATTAGTGCGCATGTATGCCGGACGAATAGCTAAACTGATATAAAATCCGGTGCCGGAACTATATCCACGGCGTATAAATAAACAATGCGACGATGTGATAGAAGCAAGGAGACCAAACATTATTATTGATAAGGAGGAAAAAGGTGGTATAATCGTGGATATTGCAGTGCCCGCCGATGGAAGAGTACATGAAAAGGAAAAAGAAAATGTGGAGAAATAATAAGCCGCGGAGGGAAATTGGAAAACTGGCAACCAAGGAAGGGGCAGATAGTTCCTGTGGTTGGAGGTGCCCTGAGAAGAGTGACAAAAGAATATGACGGGTGGAATGAAAAATTGGGGATACCGGGCGATGTCGGAGCTGTACAAGAGACTGCCTTGTTAAGATCCCGCGGAAGGTGTTGGAGGTGTAAGAGAGATTTCCTGTTAGCCCTTTTTAATTGTTATGACCCGCCTAACAGGAGTAAAGACGGCAGTTCCAACAGCCAGAGCTCATGCTGAAATAATGATGATGATGATAATGATATAACAATAATAATAACAATAACAATTAATAAAATATGGTAAAAAAATGAAAATGATAACTAACAATAATAATAGTAACAATAATATAATGATAATATAATAATAATAATAATAATAATAATGATAATAATCATAATAATTATAATAATAATAATAATAACAACAACAACAATAATGATAACCCCTTATCATTTTCGCTGCAGTTATTTGCGTTTCAACCATTAACCATTCTCTTACTCATTTTCAATTTTTTTTTTTTTTTTTTTTTTTTTTTTTTTTTTTTTTTTTTTTTTTTAGTATCGAGTAACAATTGAACGCATGGACTACTTGGTAATTATCGTTAAGTAGATTTTAAAAATATCAGAGTAAGTCTTTTTTAGTTTATTTTCTTTAATGGTTCTCAGCCGACATGCACACCAATCCACTATCAGCACATGAAACGGTTGGTGACGTAAAGTTTCTGAATAAGCTAGTGGAAATAAATCTTTAGTCTTTTGTGCTCAAAGCTCGTTCTCTATATTTTTCTCTGCTGAAATATATACGAATCGGATGTTACCACATAGCTCGGTTTATAACGTAAAGCTACTGAAGGAGCTCGAAATACGTCTCGTGTAGTTACCCCTGCATCAAGCTCGTTCTCTTCGAGGCCCTAGCCAAGGTAAACGCCAATCAGCTGTTTCCACCACAACCACAGACCCATGGCGTGACGCGGACAAGTAAACCCGGCACAGGAGCGCCTCGTTTGAAAAAAAACTTAAGATGAGAGACAACCCAATTATTTGCTGGTGTATATCTCTGCAACTAGTTATTTTAGTTGCTTTGCTGGCCAGTGTGGAAGGTGATATAGAGTCGAACCTGCTGGATGACGACGGAGGCTGGTAAGCGATGAAGAGATATGTTGAAGTGATGCAAGATGTGATTGAAAGGCTTGATCGATTTAATTTCCTATTAAGCATTGGTTAGGCTGTAAATGGTGTGATTCTAATATTTTGAATTCACATATCCATTAAATCTTGTCATTATTTGTTTCAATTATTTAGGTTGTGAAGTGCATGAAACTGTTGTTTGGGTAATTTTAATATTTCACACAGCCATCCAACATAGCACATTTTTTTTCTATTATTCACGTTGTAATAAGTGTGGTATAGGTTACTGAGAGTAATGTGGGGAGATAGAGGGAAACGACACTGCCATCTTATAGAGTGTAAGAATAAGGGTACAAGTCCAGTTTCATACAGCTGCCTTTTAGATGAAAAATAATATATGCAAACGATAGAGCTAGTGATTCTAAGAAACTTATTTTCTATGTCCTTCAACTGCAACTCAAAAATGTCTGCTGCATATTACTGCATTATTACTAGACTAAAAATAATATATACCCCAAGTCCACAACACCCCCACACAACCAGAGTTCTTAATATCTGTTTTCTATAGGTTGGCATGAAGTGCTAATAAATGGGGGGTACAGGGGCAGCTTGCCCTCCTGTTTAGACAGTGAATAGAAAGTAGGAAAGATTAGGTTTGGGTTTTTGGGTTCGTATGATACCTTGGATTTGGGACTATGTCTCTGGAGGGTGCGTCACTCTCGGTAACATTTACCATGAGGGGAATATGTTGTTGGTTTGGTAATTTTTCACAAACTTGTTACATAACCAAATGTAATGATTTTGGTATTGATGGATTCTTCTCACTGGTTAGTACACATATTTAGGAATTATACAGCTGAACTCCCCAAACCCCTGCATTCTTGGCCCTGACAGTGGGATAAACTAACAGTAATGAGATAATACAATAAAGATGATACCTCACTATTCTTCTGCAACCCCAGTTGCAATCAGTTATGTGAATGTATTCTGAAAAATAACAGTTGTTGTCCATCACAAATAATGCAAGTGAAAGTATTGGCAATTGTTTACCAAGTGACTTCAACCCTCTGAGACAGTCTCTGTTACTCCAGCTACTCCTGGAAATCCATAAATATCACCCTATGAACTATAAACCTTCCTCATCTCAGGGTTTTGTCCCCAGACCCCCATGGGATCATTATATTTTTCCTGTCTGGGGCTCTACCGTGGGCCCCCATTCAATCATTGTGAACTTGCTATCCATGTGGTATTTGCCATGACACATTTTCTTCCTTTCTGATGTTATCCTTAGTCTGCAGAAATAATTTCATGTATCAGTATATGTAATTTTCCCCCTTTATGACAGTGTCATGAAATTTTTACCATCTTAATACAGTCATTATGTAAATATATGCCATTATATAGTTTTTTACCATAAATTGAAGTGTCTTATTTTCTCCGTTCTGGACATTACTGTACCATTTGGTTATCGGAAACAAACTGAACTGGTATGATTCATGGTCTGCAATTTTGAAAATTAATTAATGGGAGTGCATGTAACCAATTGTACAAAATATTTTACTGAGTCATATAGAAAATGCACAAAGAAATATGTAAATTTTAATTTGAAACAAAGAACATCCTTTTTGGACATATAGAAAATAATTAATGGGAGTGCATGTAACCAATTGTACAAAATATTTTACTGAGTCATATAGAAAATGCACAAAGAAATATGGACATAATCCTCTTAGCTTTGTCTTCCTGTAATGGCTCACAAACTTCTTCCACATATATTCTGGCAAGATTAGGCTTGGAGTAGGTTCTTATTTGACAATAACATAATTTGTTTATTAGCTTGAGCAACCACCTTTGACCAAGATTCTTGAGAAACATAAACCAAATATGTAGAGAGGAATGCCTGAATTTTATATGAATTATGGACTGAATATAGAATGCTTTGAATAAGGAAGAAGTAAATCTACTTAGTATTTTTTCAGTAAGAAACTACTATATCAAATGAAGGCAGTAACTGAATGGTAGTTGAATAATCTGTATTGTAGTGAAAGAGTTACAGACATGAAAGAATTGGGATTCCCAGGTTTGTGTTATGATATCAGTGAGAGGAAGGAGAATGTTATATGAAAGTTCTTTTTTGAAAAGCAATTGATTTGTTAGGTAAATTATGTATGTGACTTCCCATTGTTTCATTATTGCCTTACTTTTACGTTAACCTTACCTTTACTTTACTCTACCTTAACTTTACCTTAAATTACCTTACCATACCTTTCCTAACCTGTGTATTTTCCCTTCTTCCCCCCAAAAAGATAGGGCCAGATTTGTATGGTGTCACAGCCAAAGTTAAAAAAAAAAAGTCCTGTGGAGATTTGTATGGTGTCACAGCCAAAGTTATAAAAAAAAATAATAATAAAAATAAAAAAAAAGAAAGAAAAAAGAAAATCCCCGTTGGTCAAGAGGGAAATCTGGTAGAATATAATTAAATTCTTAAATGGGCAATTGAGCACTTTGGCTGTACACCCATATAACAATACTTAATTTACCTGCCGTGACCTAATTTGCACCTGGGAAATTTTTTACAAATATCTATATTGAATACTGCCATTAGCTGTTCTGACCAACCTAAAACCTCCTTACATCCTGACACACATACATGCAGACTCACACACACAAAAATATATGTATTTTTTTTTTCTAGGACAACAGAAAACAAAGATAGGATTGCTCAGCCTGGCCCATGCAACATCAATGTGGAGGATGGATCCCTGACTCAGGAAGACTTTATAAAGAAGTAAGAGACTATGATATCTATTTACTATTAGACGAGGATTCATGCAGTTTGGAAGTTTTCAGAGTCCATTCTGTTTTTTTTTTTACATATATTTTGTTTGTGTGTTGGATAATTATGTATGAATTATTAGTCCCTTAAATTATGTGTATGGTATAGGTATAAAAGCATTAAGATTTAGATTTTTTTTCCTTGTTCACGCAATCTGATAATGAAATATTGAATCATTGGAGAAGGTAAAAATATTGATTGGTCCTTTTTTTCTTTCTTTTTTTCTTTTATACAAGATATGCATACTCTGAGCCAGTAGTTATCAAGGAAGCAACAGATAATCGGGTAAGGCATTGTTTTGTAACTCAGTACTTATTTTTACCCTAGAGCTTCATAATGATTATACTCTCTGGAAAATGTGTATTTTAACACAATCTGGAAAGTATGTATATTACACACTGAAATGTTTCCTATGTAAGCTAAAATTATTAAAGTTTTCATACTTACCAATTGATCATCAATTTACATAGTAATTCAGATTTTGAATTTTAATCAATATAGAATTCAGACTTGACTTGTGTATCTGGCCAGCTCTGGCACATCTAAGGGGCACAGCTAGGAGGAAGCTGAAGCTTTTTGTGCATCTGCACTGGATAGGGTTCATGGTGGTCATCCTTTTAATCAGAATAATAAAACAAAAGACAACAAACTTTTTCATGTTTATACATCTTATTTGAATCTCAGATTTGTATACCAGATAATTATAATGTTTTATAAGTTGATTTTATCTTTCAGGATTTCAGATCTGATATTTTTGGGTGTTGTAATGTTCATTTACTTGTCAATTTCAGGTGTTTCAGACTCTCACTCGCCGTTCAGCATTATTGGAGGGCTACGGGCATACAACTGTACGTTTGAGCTCAGCCAATAGCTATAGCTATGACAAAAAAGACGTTACATTCAATGAGTACTGCATTCGCCATGTCCATCCTCAAAAATTAACAACACTTGGGAATGGTGTGTAAAGTTTGTGTGTTTGAGGGATTATGATATAAGTGGTAGAATTCATATACATTAGATTTGTGATTATTTTCTTTGTATACAAAACCACTTAATGGTCTAATAGTAGTACAAAAGAAGCTTTATAGTCTGCACTATGTCACTCATAATTCTATGAATAGTAGAGAATAGGCGTATTTCTCAAGATTCCTTGTTTTCTTTTTGTTATTTGTTACCCAAATGAAATGGGAGTCTTATACTAACAGAAATTTATGCTTATTAAAGTAGTGTAATGTAGAGATTGCATGATACATTCGCTTCTGTTTAACATATTATCTATTTTTTCAGAGACCTTTTACTTCTTTGGAGACAACAATCATGAGGAATGGCAAGACCTTTTAGAGCAGTATAAACAACCTCCTTATAGATTACCCCATCATTTGCCAGCATTGAGTTTTGGTCTTGCAGGTAAATTGTGAAAATTATTAGCCTCTTGGAATTTCAGTATCATATACATGCTGCTCTGTTTCATAAATTTTAATGTAATACCTGGTAAAGAACCATAGTTAATCCGATTTTGCCGGGGATGGCATGTACATACATGCCATGCATGCTGTAAGTTTAGTTTATTACACATAGATGGTTCCACAAGTACTAAGTCACCAATGAGCCAGTTACAAGTACTACCTATCTCATCTGTTTACCCTTTTCCTTGATTTTTGGAAATATCTTCTGATGTCATATATTGTTGTTACTCAAGTCAGTAACACTATAATTATTATGTTTATGATAATGATAATATAAGAGATAATATTGATAGCATTAGTAAGAAAAAAACTCAAGCAAAGGTGATATCAGGTGAGGTCAAGTCTACTACTTGACTCCTTTATAACTAAACACTTGGGCCATCTATGTGCAGAATTTCACAAAACAATACCACAGTGAACCCTACATTTTCCTGGTGACGGAGGATTAATATAATTCTAATTTTCTCCAAGGTCCAGGTACTGGTGTTCCCTTTCATTTCCATGGGCCAGGATTTGCAGAGACCATGTAAGTACTGTGCGACTTGCTTTGAAGTAAAGTTACTGCACTATCTGTTGTAATTGTAAATGCAGTAATCATCAATACAGGTATGAAGGATTTTGATTAAATTGTATTGATGGAGTGATTACTTTAGGCTTATTGATATTTTTATTAAATAGCTCTTTTTCCATGTGTGGATATAGTTAGTTTTGTTGTAAATAGTTTTGTGGATAGCATTATAAATGAAATATTTTACTGCTAAAATGGATCTCTGGATGTATTGTTAGTCATAGAATCTAAAGATATGTCATGCTTCTGCAGGTGGGGACGAAAACGATGGTTCATGTACCCTCCCAATGTGAACCCAAACTTCCATCCTAATCGCACAACATTGCAGTGGTTGATGGAAGACTATCCCCTAAGAAAAGATGATCCAAATTTGTATGAATGTACACTTAACCCTGGAGAGGTATGTAATTATGGTATGTTAAGTGTATAACTATTTGGGAAGTGTATTTTATATTTTCACGTACAGTTAGCAGAATAAATTTGTGGCCACCCAAAGGTTATTTACATGTGATTTTATTGGGTAACACTAATGCCTTCAAGTATGACAATAGAAGCCCTGTTGTTAAATAAATTGTGTTAAAAAGTGTAAGCAAACTTTACCACTTATATTTTGATATTTAAAAATAAATGCATAAAAAAATTTTGTAGAAACAGACATTCACTGTCTAAACCATTTACTGACAATCACGACTATAGCCATCATGAAAGCCTAACATTTATATATATATGTCATGACTTGCTCTGGTGAGCAACCAGGCAGGGCTGACTGTACATAGCGAACACCCTGCTGGCAAGGCTAGACAGTTGCCAATTGTCGCTGGAACAAGTGCCACATAGAAAATTCTGGCACTGGCAGTGTTGGGTTAACTTCTTAATCAAATATTAATGACTTCGCTTGGCTGTAGTGCTTATAGTTTACATTTGTAAAAGAAATGCTTCCATGAATGTTATTAGAACAAATATTAATAATGAAATAGAAATAGAAAAAAAATAAATCAATGATACAACCATCTGTTGCCTACATTTGCCTTTCCCTTTTCATATTATTTACACACTGATTATGATTTACCATCGAAAGAACAAATTAAATACTATTATACATGTTTATTTGTTCTTACCTGTTCAGTTAAGAAGCATATGTGTAACATAAATAATTAAACTGTATATAATTTAGATGTCATTGGGCACTGTCAGCATATTGGAAGAAGAAGAAAAGTGGGGAAAATGTGATATACTTTTCATCTGAAAGATTTATCACCTCAAAATTATATATACTTCAAAGAAATTTAATTCCCATGCAGTGATATATGATATTATTGTCTTCTATCATTTTTGCCTTCCTTTTCTTTATCATTTGTGCATAGGTTACAATTAAGACTGTAGGTAACTGATGGCGAGAAAGTAGCACACTTCTCAACCAATGTTTTATAAGTATTACATGAAATGTATAATATACAATTTTAATAATGTTTCACAGCTGGTTCATGGCCAAACAAGGGAGAACAAATGAATATATGAGGAACCTTTGTTTTTGCTCTTAGGACAAGCAAACATTTAGGAGAGGGAGAAGGAAATATATGCAAAATACAATCATATTATATAAGTACAATTTAACCAGAGGGTTTATATTATTATATTTAAATGCACTACAATGTTACCAGATAAAATCCCAGCTTGATAATTTTAGGGTGGCCACAAATCTCTTCAGTCAACTGTACAAGGGGTAAGCAAAAAAGTTCATGAAAAATGTTAATTAGGCAGAAAATACTTATAAAAGATAACCCTCCTAATACCTTGCCTGTTGTTGAGACAGAGGCCCCAGGTAGGGGATTGCCCCTACCTTGGGCCTCAGCCTTCACCTCAACTAATATTGCATGGTCTTTTCTTCTCCCCCTTTCCTCTACTGCATCAGTTTCATTCCTTTCTTCTGTGCCACTCCCAAGGTATGAGAGGTGTGCTGAACCCACTAACCACGAGTGTCCCACATATGAGACACCCGAAAAAATAAACATTGCCGGGTGTCCCGCCAGTGTGACGCTGTATCGGGGCTCACGCTCCGATGCAGCAGCGGGACGCGGGTGGCAGGCGGGCAGAGTCTGGGGCAGCCCCACCCACCAATTTTGGAGTTGCCCAGAATCTTTTATTTTCGGCTTCAAAATATACCAGCGTTAATTTGTGAAAGGATGAATTGCTTGCTTTGTGTCAGTCATGAATGGCCTCCAGGAGCCATGGGCACAGTATTCCCCTGGTTAATTTGCCTGCCCACCTAGCCCTTACCCCTTATGGGGACCCTAATACCTCCTCGACGCTTACTGACATCTCTATCCATTCCAAACACCCACCCAGGTTATTACTCAACCCCCAGAAAGCACCCCTTCCTCTCTCCCAACATTCTTCTCTCCATCTCCTGCACAGTCTTCTTCAGTGTCTAAACCCTTTTCCCTTATTACTACTATTCATCCTTATTGTCCCCCCTCCCAGCCAAGTGGGATCAGTTTTTTGTGATTCCCCATCTGTACCTGTATCACCTGTTGAATAGTTCATAATAGCTCTTTTACCAATTTTTCATTAGAGCAATGTTCATACAGCTTTCCCAGCAGCAGATACAACAGATTTTCTACAAGCCTTTTAAATGCCCATTGTATATATTTTTTAATTGTTAAAAGAAAAACAAAATTTGAATATGTCAAAGTAAATATGTAGAAAAGATATTGATACATAAATAACTATAGTTACTTTTTTTCAGATTATTTATTTTCCTGACAAATGGTGGCATGCAACTCTCAACATTGACAGCAGTGTTTTTATATCAACTTTCCTCAGTCCATAATCTTTGTATTGAAAAGAAAAGAGATATGGTGATGGTTTAATATGCCTGTGCATAGTCTGTAAATTAGTTTATATCCCATAGCATTAGAAATGCAGACCCTCGTAAGATAATTTAGTGTCCACTTTTATAAATTAAAGACAGCACATTCCATAGAAAGCTCAGTCAAACTTGGCTACTTGATGTGTTCCTTTTGCCATTTCTTTATTTATTAAAAGAAGTCTAGACTTGGTTTCATATTCAAAATGGCATAAAATTTCTTATAATTTCTTAATAGCTCATATGGGAAGAAAATTAAATTTTTGTATTTATCATCTGGCATACTATGACTTTTGGACATATTTTTTCTGACAGTGGTGATAATACATGACTGTAAATCATGTAGAATCTTTTCTTGAAAGTGCATATATTGAAACTAGATGGATATGTTCTTTCTATATTTAATGTATGATATTGCTGCGTTAATTATTCTAACTTCATACATTTTTAAGATGACAAACAGTTTATAACTGTGGTAGAGCTGGCTCTGGAAAACATAACATTGTGTGCTTTCAGGAATAACAGAAAAAAAATCAGGAGACAGATACGGAAACCTTTGTTTATATATACATATATTGTGTATTTGTGTATGTCCCTGATAAATTGTCATGTAGTCAATCTGCAGTTTTTAAGATAAAATCTAATACTAAACTGAAGGTCACATACTTTTTATAACTAAATTATAAATTTGCGTAAAGAGACTGGTGAAAAAGTTGTCTGCATATACTCTGGCTGTGAGATTAAACTATATAACAAGATTAAAATACTATGTTTTTTTCTGAATATTTGCTGGTTTTGTGGTGATGGTGAACCTTTATACAGTTTAATTATTGGATTGACCTTGGCTAAATATTTTAGTCACTTGATTTTTTTTTATAAAGACAAGTAGTTTTTTTTTTTTTGCCAGGGACAAACCTAATGGGACCAATATTGCCATTTAAATTCAAATTTTCCTTGTTCTGTTTGTTATAGTTCACCTAATAGGAACTGTAATTTCTAAGAAAAGTTTGATTCAAATAGGTTGTAATGAAGTGTTCCAGGTGTCTAGTCAGATCAATATTCCATGTTCTTGGTAACAATTACTGTATGGTTATTGGTTCCTAAATAAATATTTTGAGCATTTGTGTTATTTTGCTCCCACAAAAGGTACTCAAATATTTTGCATTATTATAATATCTCTTCACATTAACCTGCAACCACTTGAATATTTTATTTTTTTTGTAAACACTACTATGGGGCTAATGACATATCCCATATTATGGAAAATAAATCCAACCAATTTTGAGTCGAACTACTATAGAATGACAGCTGTAAGGAAAACTGCTGGGGATACTACTACTATCACTAAGTGTTAGTTGTGAAAATGTTGTTGTTATATATCTAATGTAGTGACAAAATTGAAGTTCAGTACTCACATTTAAGGTAAATCTGAGGATACCATGTGCAGGTTCTAGTAAGTTTCTTTAATGTATACTTATAGGAGATAACAGATACACAACTTACAAAAACATGTCTATATTTGACTGCTGTACATTTTCCTTGAAAAATAAGTATGTATATATATTTTGACAAGAGAACATGTATAGTCTTTTCAGCAAATAATAACAACAATAATAATAATGAGGAAAAAAAATAGCAATGTGCTTTCATCCTGTACCCTCTAGTTTCATATTTAAAGAAAAATACATGGCACTAAATGCTTCTCAAGAAATAAGAGATCGACATTTCTTTATAGAAATTTAAACCATACTAGAACTTTTGCATATATAGCAAACTAATTGGAAAGGCATACTTTTCAGTTACTTATTCTCTGGCTAGGTCTTGAAGTAATGACATCTGTGCCTTGAGCTCTTCCATTTTCAGACCTAAAAAGTAAATATATTATATTAATATAGCATCCAAGAATTAAGGTTTTAAGAATCACAAGGATTGTGCATGTACAATTTACTGTAAGCAGGCAGGGAATTAATGCACTAGACTTTTTATAGCTAAAGATGATTTGAAGTATACCCAAAAGAAGATTTAAAGTAATAGTAAATTTTACAAGAAGCACTCAGAGAGTGCACACCTACGCCAAGGCAATAGGGTCGCTGATACAATAAAAATATTCACACTTGAAGAATTACATTAAAATCATCTCTTTCTTAAGTACACTGGTGATGTCCATAAACATAACTTCTTTGGCAGAGGTAATAAAAGTAATGATGATGATACTAATAGTTAACCCAATTGCCCAGACAATAGGGGTAACTGATGCAATAATTATTTAAATTCCTGGATCTGGATCACCACAAAAATTCAATGGCATAAGTTAGGCTAAGACAAACTTCAGGTAAAAATTTCATACAAATTTGTTCTCAACTTTTTTAGTTATCCTCCTAACCAACTACCAAACAAACTAACCAACGCTACCAAAAACATTACCTCCTTAGCAGATGTAAAAATACATGAAATAGATATCTATCAAGACTTGTTTGACAAACCTTGCCAATAGTTATGGTTTGGTAAATAAAGCTCTCACCCTCTTTACCATCACCACTCTTTGCCCCTTTTAATACCATACTATCCTGAACTGCTTTATGACAATGTGTAGCACATTTAATCATCAACTAACCTCTCTTTACCTTCTTCACTACTACAACTTTCTATAGTGCTACATGAACTTTGATGTCAAACACATTTATTTTGCTTTGTAACCATCAACCATAATTAAAGCTCAATACTTTCTCTTTTTCATTTGTAAAGAAAGCTGTACAAATCCTGCTTTCATGTTATCCTTTTAAGAAGGAAAAAAAAAAATCAAGATTTTCATACAAAGAAATACAAAGATAATATATAAATTAGACACACACAATCAGTCACACACTCATTCTTTCACTCACTACTCACTCACCACTCATCACTCTCCACTCATTCTCACTCACCATTCATTTTCACTCTCACTCTCATACTGACACTCACACTGACACTCTCACTTTCTCTCGGCAAAATATGAGAGAGAGAGAGAGAGAGAGAGAGCGAGAGAGAGAGAAGAGAGAGAGAGAGCGAGAGGAGGAGAGAGAGAGAGAGAGCGAGAGAGCGAGAGAGAGAGAAGAGAGAGGAGAGCGGAGAAGCGAGAGAGAGGAAGAGAGCGAGAGAGAGAGAAGAGAGACGAGAGAGAGAGAGAGAGAGAAGAGAGAGCGAGAGAGAGAGAGAGAGAGAGAGAAGAGAGAAGAGAGAGAGAGAGAGAGAGAGAGAGCGAGAGAGAGAGAGAGAGAGAGAGAGAGAGCGAGAGAGGAGAGAGGAGAGCAGCGAGAGAGAGAGCGAGAGAGAGAGAGAGAGAGCGAGAGAGCAGAGAAGGAGATGAGAGAGAGAGAGAGAGAGAGAAGCGAGAGAGAGAGAGAGAGAGCGAGAGAGAAGGAGAGAGCGAGAGAGAGAGAGAGAGAGCGAGAGAGAGAGCGAGAGAGAGAGAGAGAGAGAGAGAGAGCGAGCGAGAGAGAGAGAGAGAGAGAGAGGAGAGAGAGAGAGAGAGAGAGAGCGAGAGAGAGAGAGAGAGCGAGAGGAAGAGAGAGAGAGAGAGAGAGAGAGAGAGAGAGAGAGAGAGAGAGAGAGAGAGAGAGAGAGAGATAATGTATGCTTAATGATCAACTGTTGGGAAAAATCAGTGTTATAGTTTCTTACCTATTGATTGTATGACCTGTTTCTTCTGTTTTTCTGTTAGTCTTTCTAGTAGCGCATGATAATCTTGAAGGGTTTCCTGTACTTGTGCTGTGGTATCTTCCATATCTTCCGAGAAATATACAGTCCCTGCTGATGATCTCTGTATATGCAGATAAATTATATGTTTACAAACTATGATGGGAATAAATTCCTTAACCCGTTAAGTGTTACATTATTTTACATATAGGGTACCCCCAGAGGTTTACAAAAAATTGATTTCTTTTTCTTAGCCCAAACAACCCCAAATTAACCATGAAACACAAATGAAAACGTTAAAAGAGGTCAAAATGCCATTTTTAAATCCCCGTGCTAGGCTGCCAGACCAGGACTACCCCATCCCTGCTTTTGCCACTTCATCTCCCTTCGCTTCTGACATGCTATCTTCCAGCATATTTTACATGAAACCATTAGTTTATTCCATAAAACTATATACATAAATTGAATGAACTCATTTTCAAAACAAAATCGTACAAATAACATAAATACAGGGTGGTGGCAAAGGGCACGTCATGCTCATCATCATTGCTTTCCTTGCTCTCAGAATAACCTTTGCCAATTACATAATCCCTATTTTTAACATTATGATCTAGAGGGTTGTCACTATCAGAGTCCCCCTCATCATCAATAAATTCATCATCTTCGCGTGAAACCAATAAATGATTGCTGGGTATATCTAGGGATTGGCGGCGTCTACCCGCCATGACAACAAGGGCAGCTCTGGCGGCAGGAGAGTACCCAGAATTCCTGCATCTTCTAGGAAAACACGCTTGGCACTCCCAGGCAACTAATTACTGTCCATGCAAGGCAAATAATTAGCGTAAAAGCCATATATTTGTAAAACATCATGTGACATGAGAAACCTCTGGGCATACCCAACGCAAGCATGGCATGTGACGTGAGAAACACTTAGCGGGTTAAATCAAGATGTACCAAAGCTCTACACTGGATCTACATTCTAGTTGTCAATTCAGCAAATACTTGACTGACTATAATAGAACTTGAAAAAATGTCTAGTATCTGATACATATAAATAATATTAAAGCACCTTTTTATTGAAAAGATAATGCTGGAGTGATAAAGCTCACTATCAGACAAGTCTGACAAGCAAACCAGTGAAAAGCCCTTGCCAGCAGCTGAATGAAATTACCAAACCAAAGCAAAGTATTGCTTACAAGTTTTTATGGGCCTTAGACTACTTTTTGAATACTAAGAACAGAAAACATATAGAAAAAGTATAAAATGACAGATAAATTAATTACTTTGAAATTATAATTTCTGCTTACTACTAACCGCATCATTCATAAGTTCCATGGCTTCTGTGAATTTCTCAGATATATTGTCAACTGCTCGTTTTATCTCCGCCTGTGTTAGACTTCCTTCTGTGCAGAAGCTGTTATTATTCATCACAGTTCGAGGGAAACTTTGCCATAACACATATTTATTTACTTTTGATGCTGTATAACCCACAGTGTGGTGAAATCTGGAAAGAAGTGAAAAAGGACTGATTGCTTTCATAATACAAATTAATTATCTTATTTCCTATGAAAGCCAAAAAATGAGAGGTTACCATTCAGAAAGTGTGACTGTTAAAGACGATGACTTGATAAGCTTTGAAATATTATCTGTTGATCATTCTAGGATTACAATGTACTAATGCTTAAAAAATAAATACCTATTCAATAACATGCTTTTTGCTACAATTGAAAACATACATGAAAAGGAATAAAGACAAAAAATAACCATTTCTAGTCTACTGAAAATGAGGATTTTTTAAAATTAATTAACTCTTTAACCAATTTCAGATGCAAGTAACTCAAGAATTCAGTATAGCCCCTCATTTTTTTTTCTTAATGTTGACATAAACATCACCTACTCTACTTGCACAGAAAGGGCATTTCAAAAGTGCATCTCAACAATTATTTTTTTGCCAGAATTAAAGGAAAAATCTCAACCCAATTACAATAGGAGCCCCATACTGTACCACACATCTGGGTGCATGAAAAATCAACTTCTCTAGGGAAAAATTATAAGCACAGGAAAAATAAAATCACCTCTAAACTTTTAATGAGGTATAAATAACTTGTTAATTAGTAAGGCTTGAAAAAAACAAAATCTACTTTCGGCTTCTCAACAAATGCAATCAGTGCCAAACAAGCACAAAACTGCTTAGCTTGCACAACTTAAAACAGCCTTAACCACACATGATGTGAAGAAGTTATTCTGACATTGTAGGATGTCATCCTAGCATGAGTAGGTAAAGCTATTCTTATCATGTCAAAATATCTGATCAACAATAAACTTTATTTGTGATTCTGAAAACTAATGATGAATCATTATATCATCATCCAAAAATAATTTCAAACTATCCATATACTGTAACACCACCAAAGATGTGTGATATTTGTTAATTCTACAAAATTAGCATTTCTATAAATTATCATACTTGACATATCCAATCATATAACAAAAGAGTAACAATCATAATCATATAACTTTTAAATGACAATAAAACAATTAACATCTCCCAAACAAAAAATGTCTAAAGAGGATTAATGAAGCAACATGAGATCACTAAATTTGTGCTCCAGCAAAGGCTAACACACTACTACTATGTAAATACATCAGTCTTGAGATCTAAAAACTCTATCTTGCAGGTTTGTGAGTCTGTGCCTGTGTCAGACTGAATACTCATACCAATATCCTGTCTAATATCTGATTGCACTTGTAGCCTTCATTCGCTTTAATCTTTGTAGTGCTGAGTAGGTGTTGATTCAAGGGGGGTACACCTGGTGCATACCCCCACTATTTTGGGGGCAATTTCTTTTTAACTAAAGCTTTTGAACAAAACAGCAATACTCATGCAGTAATCACTGACTAGTAGATGTGCCCTTGTTATTCCAGAAGCTCAGTAGTCTCTGGCTTCTGGTACACACATGTATTGAATAATTCTGTGGCCTTAAAACCTCCTGAAATGCAGTTGACGAAATTGGCAGTTGTGACTGGACTTTGACCTCCATTTGTGCACTTCCCCTTCCAGGAATCATGGATCCGCCCCTGTTAAGTATTACCTAACTTCATTTAAAAGAATGTATTGTTAATTTTATGCATCTCTACAATCTTATGATGGCCAATCATCAAATATAAAAATGATAAATAGCAAAGAATTATTCAACAAATAATGTCTTAGAAGTATGACAGAAAAGAGGAAAAAAACATCACGAACAAAACTCAACAAACTTTCCAAACGCTTCATGATATTCTTGTTCAAGAAAATGAAACAAAAGTTTAAAACCGTAGTGACCTTGATTAAGAAATCATAACACTGATATCGCATAATCAAACCTTTATCTCTTTTTTTCCTCCCCCGTTACCAGAACCCAAAAAGTCCTGCAACCGGAGATATCTTTTTTTTTCTTTAATGAGCCTTAAAGTCGAAGTGTCCTATCTGAATCCCACTGACCTTTCGGTAGAAGCGGCAGGATTCCACCCCAGTCTAACAGGGATTGCGGTGCCTATGAACCTGCGGGAGACTCGTGTGAGGGTCGCCATGGCACTGCGGTGAAGGGTCGGAAGAAGCTGTTTGTTGTTGTTGTTTGCTTTAACGAGGTCGAGTCGAGGAGGCTGCCGTGCGCTCAATTCCGATTTGTTTTCTCTTAATTATTTCCAAATGCAATCCTCTCGTGGTCATACTCTGGTATTCTGGGTTGAAATAATCTTACAATGATAATCCTGTACAACTAATACGTCATTTTACTTAGATAATAATGATATTCAAAGCAAGGAAAATGTTTATTGCAATATTTCAATACTCGACATTGCATGATGAAAAATATCAATAAGTACTGATTATGCTATCGACATCATGTTTTTACACTGATGATAAGAATGCTATAACAAAGTTATTTTATCGTCTGCCGTCGATTATTTCGGCGTTAAACCGGAATTCCCGACTTTTCTACCTGACAGCGCTTCGGTCATACCAATGCACAGTAATTGTTTGATAATGAACACCACACAATAAACTGCTGTTCCGGTGGTGAAGATAGAGCAATATCCATCGTTTATTTCTCTGTATTTTAGCCAACTTTATTCTGCTACAGACAGTTGTGTTTTGAGCAAGGAATTAGCAGACGAATTCCGTGGAAAGTTGTTTCCATCTTGTTTATCCCTCATCCTTATTTTGACGTAAAGGGTATTAGAGCATTGCAGTGGATTTTTTATCTTTAGTTTTTCGAAGAAATTTTTATTAGAATATTTTATTAACAATTTCTTGTTTGTTATGAGAATGAGGGCCTTCGAGCGTTCGAATTGGAATTTTTAGAATTTTGGATTTTTTAGGGCGCAATTATTCAAGGTTGTTGGTTGAACTGGGGTGCTGCTTTTATGCTGGATAATTTCCCGGTGTTGTTTGCAATACTGCTGTTCGTTATATTAGGCTATGAGGATAATAGAGCACCCGCTGTGGTTTTCTATATTATTCTATTTGTAAGTGGTTTGTAAATAGTTTTTTTTCGGAGGGAAGTTCGTCGAAGGATCAAGTGCCTTCGAGAAGACGATTCTAGAAGATCGGATCCTAAACTGCGAGTCTCATCATATTGCATGTAAAAATAGCATGCTCGAGAAAATTAGTTCACGGCATCTATTGTTTCTTTTTTTCTTTTTTTGATACAAATTAAATCTAAGAGGAAACGGAAAACTAATTTACATATATAACCGTATGAAATCTTCTAGTGTTGATGTTTCTCGAAAGGTCAGAATCACATACGGCTCCTATATGATACTCTCACAGCGATGCATCGAGCAACGAAAGTTAACCCCTTGGGAATTTAGGTGCCTATTGTGGCCGGAAAATAACAAGTAATTCCAGTCTATGTTCTAGAAATCAAGATACTGATGTGTATTCTCAGATCTCAAAAATATAATTCCTCTCTTCAAAGTACAGAAAAAATATTTACCCGCAATAGGACATTTAAAGTATAAACGCCAGACTCTAAGTCGCTGAAACACCAATGCGCCGCTCGTGTGTTTACTCTTCCTCTGCGCTACCGGAATTAACGAGGAATATTGCCTTTTTCGTCTCGAATTTCGTCTCCGGGATCCCTTTTCCTCTCGACAGAGATCTATTCTTGATGGTGAGTGGACCTAAGAAGTGATGAAATAAAAGATATATGAGTTGAGACGGTGAAATATGGAGTAATGGCTATACAACATGGATCCTGTCAAGGGCCGAGTCTTGACCCACGTTTTGGCAGCAGGTGTTGGAGTTAAGCTCGAGGTTAAGGATCTAGGGTTTAATTAGGCGAGTTTCCTGCAAGATCTAGGGAAAGTTTAGAGTGCGTGGGATGTCGAGTATTGGGTTTCTTCCAAGTGGGATTGGTGTGGTAGTAGGTGGTGTGAGGTGCTTCCAGTACCCTCACGTGGGTTTTGGCATTTTGAGTTATTTTTAAATCTGATTCTCGTTCTTTGGGATTGTACTCATTAACTTGGCTTGAAACTGAAGTGCAACAGAGGAGGAAAAAGGGAATTGATGAGGGTTGAAGTATTGTGAGGGTTAACCTCTAATGGCTTTTAGGATCATATATTATTTATTGGTTTTGTCAATTATTTCAAGGTTGTATTCATGATTTTGGCTTAAAATTTGGTGGTAGTCAAAATATTGCAAATGTCAACCTGCAATCAAGCCATGAGTGCTGCATTGCAACTCAAGTCAAGGTTATTTTAAAGTAATATTGGCAATTCTTAACAGTATGGATGCACTCGCAACACTAAGTCCTCAACTCCACATCAAAAAATATATTCATCAATCTAAGTTGCCATGACTACATGGCCCGAGGGTAGGGTTGAAAGGGGGCTCTGCCCCCAATACCCCCGGGAAATTATTGTCTTCACCTTGGTATGCCCAGTAAGATAGGACTGAACCTCAGGAGCACTCAGTAGACTTAAGCTGAGAGCAGTGCTTTCATTGATCTTTTTCCTTAATTTGTGGTGTCACCGTTCGTGTCTTCAGATTATTCCTTGTACCAACAACTGCAATTTTTTGTCCTTTAGAAGAATAGTGCATCCATACTGTAAATATTAACTGTGATATTAACTTGTCATGGTAATAATTCAAGGAATCTGTGTATTGTCTGGGTATTGTTTCAGTTTCACACAGCCATATGGTACAAGGTAAATCTTGCCCTTAATAAAGAGAATAATAAAAATAAGAAACTTCATCAATAGAATTTCCTCCTCAAGTTGATAAAAAGAAAGTTGAGAAATATGTATTACTTTAGTACACATTTACATATGGACTACACTAAAATAATGAAAATCTAATGATACTACCTAAAAGAAAAGGAAGTAAATGTACTCTCTGATACATTAAATAATCTGCACAAGTAGAGATAACATCAGAAATGAAGAAAATAGGTTGTAACAAATACTGTGCTGAGAATGTCCACAACATTTGGGTAGGGGTGCAGGGGTAGAGCCCCCAATATAGAAATAAATTGATAGGGTAGATGTCTAGGGGCAAAGCCCCTGGTTAGGAAGGTTTCTTGATTGTACTATATTGTTTTTGGATCCCCCTGGAGTCTCCATAGTAATTGAGACCAATACTTTCACTTAAATCATTTGCATTGGAATACATCAACAGATCACACATATTACACTGTTGATTATTAAAACAAGAAATGATAATTGTAAGGTTGGATAGCTGTGTAAAACCAAACATTTACTATTGTCAGCACTAAAAAATTAGGTATCTGAAATGCACAAACCAAATGTAGTAGTTCTTGTATGCAGAAATCATGTATTACATTATTAATAGTGGCATAGGTCAGTGTTAGAATGCTGGTTCTGCAATTGCAAGGTCTTGGGTTCATGCCTAGTTGCAGCCAACTCAGCTTTGAGTAAGCACTGTTAACCCTACACTGATGGTGCCAGAATTTTCTGTGGTACCCATTCTGACGACTGCTGGCAACCATCTAGCCTTTCCAGTTGAGCATTTGCTATGTATAACTGGCTCTTCCTGTTCACTCGTGGGATGGAGTCATGAGGCGTGTAAACGTCCCTGTCATGAAGGGTAGGCTTTCCATGATGGCTATAGCCATGCCTGTCAGCAGGGTGTTAAGCTGACATCAGCATGCTGAAGTCAAAGTTTTAGGTGGAAAGTAACTGGCTACCCTATCGCATCATTCCATGGCTTAGTATGTATGCTTCTCTACAAACATGTCCTGTGTCCACTTGGATGTGAGACCAATTTTGACTTTCATCGTTTGCATAATTAGAGTGAAATCAGATCTGAAGAATGTAAAAACTAAGATGTAGTGAAAGACCTATACAAGTTTGTTTTTCCCTCTTAACATGCCTGTAAATGGGTGATGAGTAATGTTCATACTGTGTGCAACTTGTTGTGGGTCCTGCAAAGTCCTAAAAACTTCTGCCATATCCTTTTTGACAAGATTGACCTTGTAATGGTTACCTATTTAATGATGAATCACCTTGGTGTTTCAGAAGTTCTTATGTCAGAATATATTCAGTGTAGGTTATTGGGTTTTGCATTGACCCTGAGACTGCACCAGTCAAATCTGCAACATTTCTGTTAATACAATCTGTATTTTTTCTGCAGACTAACACTAGTGCCCTGTACGTAGACAACAAGTCTCGGCTATATGAGATTTGTTGATACTGATAATGCATAGATTTCCTGAAAAATTTATATTATGATAATTGCTATGGTTGTTTTAAATATTAGGGCCTGTGGGATAAGTATTTTATAAGAACACTAGTGTAATGTGTTTCCTTAATTTTTTTATTAATGTTGTATGCATGATATCTATTTGCTTCAGAATTACAAATGGTAATGGCAAAACCATTTTTCTATTGCTTATACATGTAGAAATGGAGAGCAATTCCAAAAAAGTAAAAGCATGTTTGTATATATGGTCAGATTTTATAATATAAAAGTAATTCTTTGCAAGATCTTAAGTACAGTTTTTTTATTTAATATAATCTCAAGTAAAATTAATGATTTAACAATATCATCTAAAATTAGTTCTATCTTGTGTAATGCACAAAAAGTAAGAATAACAACTGGTACCTTTAATTTTGGGCAAAGTATATTGGACTGATAAATCAGATTCAAATATGTCTTGCTTTTGTGATAGTTGCATTAGAGAAAGTAGTTTTGTGGCTTCTTTTTATTTTTTTCTAATTCTGAGAAAAAGCCTCTGCCTTATAAATTTTGGCAAAATGGTGCATGGAATGGTTGCTTATTTAGTGATAAACCCCTCAATTATTTGTGTCATCATCACTTGCATTAATTATTTAAAGGAAATACATTTTATTGTCAGTATACAGCAGATGTGTCATAGGAGATCAATCTTAGAATTCATTGATTCCATGGGATATTTATCATGTATAGCGTGATTGTCTGAGACTGTGATATATACAGTGCAATTTAAATGCTTTGCATTAGTCTGTGAGCTGCTCAAGTTGATATGAGTTTTTTACTTAGCTTCATCATTTCTTTCTATCTTAAAGTCTGGCTACAAAATCTGTTTATATTTTTTCTTAATTTTTTACCATATTGATGCCTTATTTTTTTTTAATTAGACTTCTTACTGTGATAAACAAGAGATGACTTAATAGGAGCTAAGGACTCATTTTGGAATTTGGGATCATTTGTGGGAGCTATTTATTTCTTTAGGATTGATATTCAGGCGTTGGATGTATGATCTCGATCTTTACATCAGCCATCATCTGTCCATGTTATCGGTATCTAATCTTAGCTGCGTGTATAATTTTATGTCATCAACATTTGATAAGATATGAAGATCTGTTATCTGAAATAAGTGTGAATTTGGACGAGAATCATGAAGAAATCTTGAATTCTGTAATTCCACAATGTTCCTAATCTGTTATCTCATATTGTGTTATGTGGTGTTTACAAAGTTGTGCAAATCAAAATGGATAACTGGTAAGCTATAGTTAGGAAGGGTTATTCTACAGCATAACAGTAAAGTTATATGATCTGCAATATTTTGGTTATTGTTTTCAGGTGGGAATGTACAGCGTGTAATGCCTGCATCATCAGCCGAGGTGATAGGGGCGGCGCTGCAGTCTGCTTTCCAACACA